ATTTTCTTAATTTATTATTTAAGTAAAAATATGCTTCTTGTACAGGCCTATTTATTCATATATATATATATATATATATATATATATATATATAGCCTAGCTTTATTATGTTTTTCTCCGCTGACAGAAGCGCTGCAGGTGCGTGATGTGATATGATGATCAGTGAATCCTCATGTTCTGTTGTTTGCTGCTTTTTGCGCATGTAAAATTAATCCCCGGAAACAAATGTTAGTATTTTTTAATGGGTCACAGACACTTATCCTTTCTAATTTAATTCTAATTTAAAATAATCTTGTCGGTTAACAATCGGTTAACGAGCGTCGGTTGTCGGTTAGGAAAAATAACCGAAATGAACATCCCTAGATTAATTGCATCCAAAATAAAAAATGTTGTTTACATAATATGCGTGTACTGTGTATATTTATTGTCTATATAAATACACACACATACATGTATATAAGGAAAATGTTATGTTTATATATTAAATATATTTCTCTTTAATATAAATATATACACATGTAAATACGTGTAAATATTATCAAAATATATACTGTATGTGCGTGTATGTATATATACATAATAAATGTACACAGTACACACACGTATATTACGTAAACAAAAACTTTTATTTTGGATGCGATTAATCACGATTAGAATCAGAATGCAGACACGATAAATAAACGTCAGAATTAGAGCCCGACTGATATATAGTTTTGCCGATATTATCGGCCGATATAAGCCTGTCGCCGATATATCTTTATCGGTGAATATGCCGCCGATATTAAATTTTTTTTACAGAACATATAATGCAGATAAAATGCTTGAAATGGTGTAATTACTTAGTTTGTCCAGCATTTGCTACTGGAGACCTGGATGAAACGCTTTAAAGCTTAAGTCTATGGAAAACCATTGAAATTTTGAATGGCCATATCTCCGTAACAGCGAGGCAAATACGCACCGCGTCGATAGCCCCCAGGGTTTGGGAGTTAGGGGTGGATAAATTGCGGTCCGCGCCGACCGATCAAGCGATCCCGGAGGGCTACCGACACGCGGAGGGTGGCATTCGATAGGGCTCCTCGAGCTGAAGGGATCCCCCGAATTTGGTGGAGATCCACAGGCGCGTTCGCGAGATAGTGACACCAGTCAACACTTTCACTTCAGTAAGGAGGTCTCTTGTAGAGGTTGACCGATGTATCGGTTTTATCGGCACCGATAGTTGATTGCTGGAATTATCGGTTATCGACAAAAATCCATGCCGATAGTTTTCCAGGTTGCGTCCATTGCTGGAGCGGCTGAGAAGGGTCTGCGGTCATTACACAGTGCGAGAGCGGCCTCTAGTGGTTGAAATCCCTGACAGCACGTGCTATTTGTTTAGACACGTGATACTGCACGCTGAACAGAGCGGGAATTTAAATGCCTCCAAACTTTTGACTGGTACTGTACTATAATAAACACAAAGAATATTGTCCGATATATCGAT